GAAGAACTTTGTGTTTCCTCTGTTGCAAACCTTTTGCGTAAATAAATAAATAAATAAATAAAACTAATTCCTCCAAGTGGGGCTGTAGCCAAGAAAACTCTGTTCTGAGAGATTCAGATTTACGGCAGAAGACACCGCTGAGAGAAAAAGCAAGAAACAGAGACAGTGGAGTTCCACCTCCCATGATATATAGAGCCAAGGGAGGTATAAATACCCATCACTTCCCGGACCCTCTTTTAAAAAAAAAGACAAACACCCAGGATCCTGTCTCTGGCTGGCTTGCAGCAAGGCGCCCTCATAAAAGCTAAGATAAACAGTTTATCAGCAGATGAATGCACAAGCTCTGGTCTAAAGACAAAAGTCTATACCTTAGGAAAAATGCAGAAGCAAGAGGAGAGTGGGCTGAGAATCAAGAAGGCACAGTATTTTAGGAGGAAGAATGACATGTAATGAGAAAAATACAGCAATTCTTTAAAGACATTTTTAAGGCGATGGATACATCTGTGTATGTACTTAAAAGACTAAGAAATAATTTTGTTGTTGTTTTTTTCTGCATTGTTTTAATGCATTAGTCATCTTAGGATTTACTCTGCTATAAAACATTCATCCCAGAGCTTAGTTTCAAAATATATTTTTTATATATTATTTATCACTGTAGATAGAGGTTCTTGGCCTAATGTATCCTTCCCTGTCTCCATTCTGTTGAGATTTCAAGGTAGAACTTTGCTCTCTCAAAACACGTTTTGCCTTCCAAAGTTTTTGATTCAAAACTGTTTTCCTTCAAAGCAGTTGATCACCTGCTAACATTGTCATCCTCATCACAATACAGCCCTTATTCTGTGTATCAGGAAAGGGGCAGGGAAATTGATGAGGTACCTTCCTCATGAGGGAAGAGAGAGAACCACAAAGATCCAGCAGGATCTCCCTCAATCTTTCCACACTAAAGAATGTAGTTTCAAAGCAGTAGAACAGGGATTTTCTCCCTGTCGTACATGGATTCCTGGGAAGGTCATACATGACCTTTGATAGCTCATAATGTAGATTTGTCATCTGATATATCTGGACTATGTAAAATAGCTGCAAGCTGTGTATCTCCTTTAGAATTTCTTAAGGGATTCAGGTTTTTTGATTTTTTAAAGGTAGAAAAGGAGTGCCTTACAAAATTTATACAGGTGTATAAAGTAAGAGGAAACTAGAAACTTGCTAGGACCTAAGACTAAAATTGAAGTGATTTTAATTCAGTTACCTGCTCTTTCAAACACAGGTTTCCTCTACAGTTTTAGTAAAACAGGAGACTCTTCCCTCTGCATTGTTCCATTGATACTGGTAGCATCTAATCAAACTCGCCAACACTTCCATGAAAGGGGCAAGGATTAGCATTCGTGCTCTACAGATAAGGAAAGGCAGAGCTATGAAATGTGCTGCCCAAAGCCGTATGAGAAATTTGCATGACAGCTGAGCACAGGACTCACTTGGTTATGCTGTTGGTTTTCCCTTCCTTTCCTTAACAATCATTTCATTCCAATAGATTTTTTTTAAACAAAGCAAAAGGTAATGAGAGCATGATTTAAATAATCTTTAATTGTAAAGGGAAGCAAGAATAGTTCTAAGGAGGCCTCCACTCCTAAGGAAGGCACAGCTTTGCCAGGTATAGTTCTTCTTCATCTCGGTTTTGAAGTGTTTTATTACTTTCTGTGAGATTTCCTCTGTGTTTTACATTGCTGCATGCATCATACCTGAGACCACTGCTTGCAGACCAGGCTGATTTGACACCATGGGCTGAATTCAGAGAGATGTCCCTAAGCCTTGGGTTGGGTGAAGTAGGTCAGGCCATTTACTGTTAGTAGATTTTCCAGGAAATGAATCTATTCTGAATTGTTTCTGTGCATCCTCGCTGCTGTGGACTGAAGTCAGCTGCTTACATAATGTGTTTTCAGAGCTGTGCCTCCAGAGCTGTACAGGCTGCATTCCTCTTCTCTCCTCATCAGCAGTGTGACCCTGAAGAAGTGGCATCTTACTCTTGCTCACATTGGCTTCCTGTATGGCTTGAAGGTTGTATTTGCTTTGTCTACTGAAAAAACACATTTTTACTACTGACAGCACTCCAGAACCAATAAAGCTGGGGCAACGGGAGTTGTTCTACTCTGCTTCATGCATCATTGCCAGTAGAATGACCAGCTAAGGCCTCGATGAGCTGCTGGCCTCTCTCCCTATCCCAAGAAGGGCTGGCATCACACACAGACTCTGGATCATTCCTTTACCTTCAGGTTTCATTTACTGCTGTTTTCAGCAAGCCTTGGAATAAACCAGTTTCCTTTCCCTCTGACCCAGAGGCCCCTGGCAGAGTTTCTGGCAGCTCTTCCCCAGTCCTGCTGTCAGCCATTCCACCAAGAAATTCTTGGGCCACAAGTGACTTCTGTCACTTCTGCATCCCTCGAGCTTGCACGGCCTCTCCAGGAGCCCAGTGCACCTGAGGCGAGGCAGACACCCGCACTTGAGGAATTACTGAGCCCCAGCCTGCTCTGCTCAGAACAGATCTGGGGCTTAAAGAGGGACAGAGAGGCTTAAAGAGCCTCATTCCAGAAACATTTCATGGTACAGGTAACTCAGTTGAGGAGGAAAAGGTCTTGTCTTCCAGTCCTGGTTTAGGGTCACAATTTTGAATGTGGAATCTTAAATATCTGGCATGGAATAGATGGAACATAGGCCTTATCAGCTTTCCTTTTTAGACTTAAGGAAACTGATCGTTAAAGAATTGGTTTCAAATACCAGCTGAGTAAAACTGAATTTATTATTAAAAAATAAATACAAGCCATTAGATGTAACTTCTGAATTTTTGCTTCTGTTTCTGAGGTGTGGCTTCTTACTTATATCCAGGGACAACTTTTATGCCAAATTTCAGCACTTAAAGTTTATCAGGGTCTAGGTGAAGGTAAAGACCTCAACTTGCAGGTAAAAAAAATTGTAATAAAACTCCAGCAGATCTTTGACTGACATTGTAGCAGCAAGTGTAACTGTGAGGCTCTTTCACAGTGTTGACCTTAGGTCAGTTCTCCATCTTTTTCATGTAATGTTTTTCAGTTATGTATTATTTATAAAATGCCTGCTATATTCTGGAATAAAGTGAAGAAAGAGTTATTTTAAATTTAAAAGTGGGAGTGATAAATAGTTTTTAAAACAAATTTTTTTATAAAAAACACCCAATCTTGGTAATCTGATCTATGTATTACTTTCATAATGAACCTAAATTTGAAGGTTAACTTTTAAGCAAATGCATAAATAACTTAGTTGAAATGGCTTAGCTTCAGTCCCATTAAACTTAAGCTCCTAAGTGCCTAAATAGCCAGCCGGAATGGGATTCAAGCACTTCAGGAAATTTTACTCAAACCGTAATAAGCCTTACAGCCATACTGCCTGCCCAGCCGTGTAAGTGCTCTTTGCAAGACAGTAATTCTGCCATGGAAGCGGCATTTAGTATCAAATTTTAAATTGTTTTATGTATTTGCCATTGAGGCACTCTCCATCTTTTCTGTATGGACTGAGGGCATAACTGGAAATTGCGTTTCTGATGAAGTCTTAGCGAACTCCCTAGAAAATCGCCAAGCAAGCGCTCCGGAGAGAGCAGCGGGGCCGCGCAGTCTCCCGGAGCATCCGCCATGGGAGCCGAGCTCCCGGGCTCGTCTCGGGGGAGCGCCAGGTCCATCCGCGGGGTCCCACCCGGCCGCAGCCCCCGAGGTGAGCGCGGAGCCGGCGGGAGGCGCCTCCCCCCACCCGCAGCACCCCCGGTGCTCTGCCCGCCGCTGCCGCTGCCCGCGCTCACCGGCGCGGCGCGGGAGGGAGGGAGGCTCTGGCCGAGCTTCTCCGGCGCCGAGGGCATCCCGCCGCTCCGCGCTGTCCCGGTGCCCCCCGGCCCGCGGGCGGGCAGCCCCCGGCCCGGCTCGGCGCCGCCAGCAGAGGGCTCGCTGCGCCCGGGCAGGCGCCCGGCGGCGCCGGGGCCGCGGGCAGAGCGTCCGCAGCGGCCCCGCGGGCGGGCAGCGCGCCCCGCGCCCATGTGCGCGCCCGGGCAGGCGGCCCCCGGCGGCCGCGCAGCGCAGGCCGGGCCAGGAGGGCTCGGGCAGCCCGCGGAGAGCCGGGAGAGCCGCCGCCCTCCGCGGGTGGCCGGGCCGCGCTCCTGCGCCGGGCGGGCGGGAGAGGCCGAGCTCCGCGCCCACGGGGAGAGCGGCGGGGCGAGGCCGGGCCCGGAGCCCCGAGGAGCGGGCGCACGGCCGGGCTGAGCCGCCGCCGGCTGCCCCGGGCAGGGCAGCATCTCCCGGGGCGCGGCGGCTCGCGTGAGCGGCGGCGTGCGGAGGGCGGGGGGAGGCGGCGGCTCCCGCCTCAGCCTTCCCCAGCAGAGGGTGCCTGCCGGTGGGAAGGGGGAAGCCGCGCTCTCCTGGACTTTTGTGGGAGTGGGGGTTGTGTTGTGTGTGTGGGTTTTTTTTTTTTTTAAGGGGGGTGGGGTGGGTTAGGAGAGAGTCTGTGGTTTCCATGGAGATGAAGCTGAAAGTGCAGGAAATTTAAAGGCTTTGGGTCCTTGCAAAGCAGACAAACTGGTGCCAACGTGCGTGGCTGCTGTTACTGCTGAGGAGGCTGCTTTGCAAACGGCGGAGAGGAGCGGGGAGAAGAATCGGCAGCAACTTCTTCCACACGCACGGGCAGACAACGAGGAGCGGCAGCAGCAAGCAGAATTCGTAACAAAAAGAGGCATCTCCCGTTCCCGGGAAGGGAGAGAAGCAGCAGCAGCAGAATTTTGGAGCGGCTCCACCAGGAGAAATTTTATAGAGAAGCCTGCAAGAGAGAGTGTTTGCAGGGGGCTTGTTCTCCGGGCTTATCAGGGGGCTGTCTTTGCTGGTGGTGCGGCGAGTGGAGGTGATCCCCATCAAAGACGAGTTATTTTGGATATCCCCGTACAAGTTTTCTGATGTGTTCGCTTGCACCTTCTTCCCTTGCTGTTTGGTGAATCCAGCCCCCCTTTCCCCCCCCCACCCCCACCGGTCTCCCAAGGATGGATCATTCCCAGTGCCTTGTGACTATATACGCCTTGGTGGTTCTGCTGGGTCTCCGGCTAGAGCAGGGCGCCTGCCAGCACTATCTGCACATCCGACCGGCTCCCAGCGACAACTTGCCCTTGGTGGATCTAATCGAACACCCGGACCCTATCTTTGACCCCAAGGAGAAGGATCTTAACGAGACCTTGCTAAGGAACCTCATGGGCGGACACTTCGACCCCAACTTTATGGCTGTTTCCTTGCCCGAGGACCGGCTCGGAGTGGACGATCTAGCTGAGCTGGACTTGCTGCTCAGGCAGAGACCCTCGGGAGCGATGCCCAGCGAAATCAAAGGGCTGGAGTTCTACGACGGGCTGCAGCCGGGCAAGAAGCACAGGCTGAGCAAGAAGCTGCGCAGGAAGCTGCAGATGTGGCTTTGGTCCCAGACCTTCTGCCCGGTCCTATACACGTGGAACGATCTCGGCAGCCGCTTTTGGCCCCGGTATGTCAAAGTGGGCAGCTGCTACAGTAAAAGGTCTTGTTCAGTCCCCGAAGGCATGGTTTGCAAACCTGCCAAGTCCGTGCATTTAACGATCCTGAGGTGGCGGTGCCAGCGCCGGGGCGGGCAGAGATGCACATGGATACCCATCCAGTACCCCATCATTTCGGAGTGTAAGTGCTCCTGCTAGGGCTGGCACTTCCCTCCGCGCCCCTTCTCCAGCGGACTCACGTGGACCTTTGCTGCAACAGAAATAAAAGACTTTTGCTTTCTGGTTAACGTTGTAATGCACTGTAACGTGTAGGAGAATGTATATTGTGTGTATATATGGCACCGGTTTAATATACTATTAAAAGGTCAGTATTATACGTGAAATAATCAGCGTCTACTGTATTTTCAAGACTATTACCCTGATCGTTGCTAATGTATCTTTTTTTTTTTTTTTTTAATTTATATTCCAGAGAGAAGTTGCTTCGCTTTGGCGAAGTAGGTTTTTGTTGGGTGTTTTTTTTTTAATAAAAGGATTAAAAAATACAAACCAAACTTTTTGATAAGAAAACGTTTAAAGCTATTTTCCATTATTCGGAAAGCATATGTGTGAGGGATTTTTTTTTCTTTTTCCTTACGGACTTTAGATTTAAAATAAAAATGAATAAACGCCTAGAGCACAATGTTAGTGTAAATAGAGAGAACAGTTTGAATGACTTAATCCTATGTAAATGAAGAGTATCTGCTATTTATTCTTTATATCCTTGTAGTAAAAGTGCAGTGCAGAATTAAAGTCAACCACTAAAACACGAGCCGTTTGGATTCTGTTTGCTTTTTGGTTTGGCCGCCGTCGGGGGGGCTTTCTTCTCTCTCCTCCTCGTTCTCCACGCTCAGCAGGACGTTTCGTGGTGGCAGGGGGAGGTGGGAACCTGCTCACGACTCTGTTAGCGGGGCTCTGCGGCACCTACACGGCCGGAGTTCCGCGGGTTGCGGCCCCGCAGGCTGGGGGGCGGCCGCCGGGCTGTCCCTGCGCTCCGCTCCGCGCTGTCCCCCGCGGAGCCGCTCCCGCGGCCGCGCAGCCCTGGCGAGCTCGGTGGCAGCTGCTCGGGGATTTTTCTTTTAACCGCTTGACATTTCATTTACAACGGGACACGTGTCTTTCACACCTACCATTGTGGTGGGACACTGCTGAAACTTGACCCCTGGTCTTTGGGGGGTTTCAGCGCAGACACGTTATTAGCAGCCTGATCCTGTGACAGCCCCGCACACCGCCCGGCCCGGCCCGGCCCGGCCCGGCCCGGTTAACTCCTTGGGCTCCCAGCCGTGGCCACCCCGATGGGCTGCCCGGGGAGTGCCCCCCGTGCCCCGAGCGTCCTGTCTGCAGGCAGCCCGGGGAATCTGTGCCGCCCGCTCCCGGCCCGCCCCCCGGGGCCGCCCCCGCCCGCTCCCCGCTCGCCTCGGTGCTGCGGGACAGCCCGGCCCGGCCCGGCCCGGCCCGGCCCGCAGGGCTCCGCCGGACCCGCAATCATCCCGCGGCTCCGCCGGGACCCGGCCCAATTAGCGACGTGTTTGACTTTTACGTGCTGGGAGAGCCGAGGTTCGTATCTCATAGATACCAACTGCGAAAACAAACTCTCCACGTGTTCTTCAAAGGCTCCCTGACAGTGCAGAAAGCCTTTTCCTTATTTATCTTGGAGCCAAAGAAACTTTTTTTTTTTTTATTTTTTTAATTTCTCCTCCATAACTCGGAGGGAATCTATGCTAATCATTTTAAGCCCATGAGACTTTCATTGAGACGAGCCAGCCCTGCTTTCTCTGACGCTTAGTTCGGTATCTCCGAATGCATATTCATTCCCTCGCTCAGTCTCTCGGTGCGTTTTACCGCCCGTCTCTTTGCTCTAATTTCAATAGTTTTGGGAGGGGGGAAGAAAATCAGATCTTGGGACATTTAGGGTATTCATTAACCTAGTGAAGAGGAACAGAGGCATTATTACTCACATAGAAGGCACCCTGCCCCCATGTCTATCTAAGGGTTCATTGTAAAAGGATTAAAAGTTAAAGACCTTCATCTTATGATTCTTTCATTTAATCTTCGTGGCGCCTGAAAGACATGCTGGATGGATGATCACATTTAAAATATTCCTAATGTCGGCTACCTTAGGACTCCAGGCAGGGCAAACAAACGTAATTTATTTCCAGAAGAAAGGGTATATTGAGATGTTTAAGTTTATGAACCACCATTACCATGTATATTTGTTAGGTTCTGACAAATACCCAAATAACATTAAAATCAGCCATTCATCACATATGAATTTATGCAAAACCTTGTATGCCTGGGGCCAATATTTTTTTAGACAGAGTTTCACTTGCAAAAAAAAAAAAAAGTTTATTTAAAAAAAAAAAGCAAGATTTTTTCATGACTGGTAAACACGAGAATTATGTGAACAGAAACTATTTCATGCTGGGATGGCAGCCAGGGACTCGGGAATGTCAACAAAAGTTCTCAGAAGGTTGAAAATGTCACTGGATTACAATACAAGGTCCTTTGCCCCATTAGCAAACTTTGCTAAAGTAATATTCCCACTACTTAGCGAGGGGGCTCAGCCAGTGATTTATCTGTCTGTGATCTCAGCAATGGGGCAAACTGGGACTTCATCTGGAAACCACCTCTGACTGCTGGCTTCAAGATTTAAAAATTTTTATGTGTGCAAAGCTGAGTGTATATTGGTGACTGCTACGTGAGTGTAAAAGAAGTGTGCTGTTAATGTAGTCTAAATGCCTGTCAGGGTATCTGTCTTAATTTTAATCTGAGGGTCATTTTCGTCACAGAGTCATGTGTACATATATGCTTTCTCAACCAATAACACCCTGTTAATGAATTTATGAGAATATTTTGTGTTTTAAAAAATCAAGTTTCACCATCCATAAGGCCCATGTTGTTCTGTTTTTTTAATAAATAGTGAAATTTTGTCAGCTGGTCGATCAAAAATAAACTAGTAGTTTTCACTGTTGTTTCTGGTCAGGTCCACTTTCTGGTCCTCCTGCCCTGGTGTTGAAATGCTTGGCTTGTAATGGAAGTGTTTCAAGCCAAACAAATAAAATATCTTTCTGATGAATGTTCGTATGCAAATCTATTTAATATTAGATTTTGTAATATGTTTTTGTAGCAAAATTGAATTATAGCCCTTTTAAATACAAATCAATTCATAATACAGCCAGTTTTTCTTTGCTGATCTTTGTAGTGGCATCATGAGACTGCACAAAGACCACTGTGGGGAAGAAATAAGGGAAAAGTTTAAAGTTACTCTGCAGTTTCTTCTTTTGCAATTTTAGTGTCTTAAAGCATAATAATGGGAATTTCAATTAATTTCTGTGTCCACCATAGGCTCAGCTGAGTCATTTAGCCTGTGTGCTGGAGTTCCTTGTGTAGAGCACAGGAATTCATCTTTGCCACTGTAGTCAGTCTTTATTAGAATAATCTGTTCTCTCACACCACATCTTTATTCAAAATCTAGTAAAGTTAAGGCCCAGTGTTCAAGGGAGGTTCCTCTATGATACTGCATTTAGCAGCCAAGCCATTGTTTTTGCCAGTGCAGAGCAGTGTTCTATGTATCATTATCCAATGCCTTATACTTCTGATTATCAGGGAAAAATATGTGGCTTTTAACCAAAGTCATGATGATGGCTCATTTGAAAGTGCTAAGAGGAACACAGTTGATAAAAGCACAGAAAAGTAAACCAGTTCATTTGTCCAAATGAACTAATACAAAATTAGTTCAGATAGTGTGAAGAACATGAACCAACTAGGAAGCATTACACATTAAAGTGTTCTGTCCTCACATAATGTACTTAATTGAAAAATATATTTGATTCCTTTTATTATTTTCAAAATTCCACCACAAAGATGAGTTCCTGAAATTGCGTGAGGGCACTATGGCATCATCACCAAAATAACCACAGCTAGAAATTAGAGCAGTAGTATTTGGGTAAATACTGGACACGTTTTTCCTCTTCCATAGTTTTAGTAGAGAAATAATCTTAATTTAGTAACATCAACACCTTGAAAAAAATTCCCAGCAGTTCACCTCACTGGGCTGTGTTATATAAATGTAATCTGCACCACATTGGCTGGATCTTGGACACATTAAAGAGAAGATATTCCAGCTTGGAGATTTGCCAAGAATCTTCATTGAAAGCTGAAATAACTATAATGACGTCATCATATAATATAACATCATAGCTTTCAAGGTGAGCCAAACCAAAGGTATGCTGGCAGGGGAATGTTGCCACCTGGTAGATCCATGCTAGGAATAGATAGGATACTCTGATCCAGCGGGGAGGAGAACAGCCACACTTTTCCTGGACTGCCCACAAGGATCCTGCAGTCTCTCTGTGCCTGCAGGTCCTGTGGGAGCCTTGCTGCACGTGGGAGCTGCAGGATCTGTGTCAATGCTCTCTTTTAAGAAAGCAGCTCCAGTAAATTTGAAGAGACCTTTTCATTCCCTCTTCCCTGCTCCCAGACCAAGCAAGAAGCTCCAATGGTTAAAAGGAAGGGAATGAATACATTCACTTGAAACAACTGTTGGAATGGTTCAGATGGGAACAGAAATATTCAGCAATCAACATTAAAGACTCTAAATCCTCAGAGGTGTTATTGCAGGATCAGCAGCTTCCAGCCCTCTTCGTGAAGCTTGGGTACCAGTGTATTACTGTTAAGTCCCCTGCAGCCTGTTCCCTGCGGGGAAAGCAGCTGCTCTGTGTGATGTGCTTCTGGAGAGTCTGGGAGAAAAGCTGCTGCAGAGAAATCTGCATGGGTGTCATGTCACAGTGAGTCATTTTTACCTGCTGAACTGTGGGGACAGGAGTGCAGAGGTGCCACAATTTAGCCTGTGACTCTGCTGGTGGATGGCTTAGATGGAAACCAGCTGAGAGCAGATGCTCTGAGAGCTCGCTGGTTGTAGTTCTGCCCTCTCCGGGGGTATATTCGTGCTGCCTTCGAGCATCAGCACTCAATGCCAGACCAACGTGTGTGTGCACTGACGCCCTGTCAGCCTGTAGGTGTCCTGGAAAGCTTTGGAGCCATCCCTGTGGTGGCGTCTGGCTGTGTGTGGGTGCTCCTGTCGCAGAGCCTGGCTGAAGGCAGGCAGATCCTGGTCTGGAGTCTGCTCTTCACCCAGGACTGACATTGCCCAGCACACCGGTCTCTCCCGTGGAGAATCCCAGAGTAGTCACTGCATCAGATAACCGTAACAGAGTTTGAAAATAGGTTTCACACTCCCTCCTCGTTGTTTTTTTTCCCTCATGAGAGGGGGAGTGGCAAGGCTCCCATCACAAAGAACGTTACTCAGAACCAGAACAGATCTTAAGGCACAACACTAAAAACCTGTATGCAATGGAGAAGGACTGGGTGGCTCGAGGGATTGGTAATGGTATAAAGGGCTTTT